AAACCATTTAGCAGTTTTCATTTCCATTTTCGTAAATAGCATTCAAAACTCTATCGATTTATCTGGGTCTCCATTCAAAGTCCCACGCTAAGTAGACTACCCCTCCCTGGTCAGTAGCAGAACAATTATGCCGAGGTTCATAGAAAGCCGTACGTGGAAGTTCTCTATTGAGCAGTTACTTTATTATATATAGAGCCATAGTTTTCAACCATAGTTTTTTTTAGAAAGGTTCAAACGATGAAACGTACTGATCAGGAACATGTATGTACTACCGAGGCTTTGAATTCTTTTCCAGAGGTTACGCATGATGTATTTTCATCGCATAAAAACCTCATTTATGCGACCATACATATTCAAACACGATTCTGTAGCTGAATCTACCGTTGACGTTGCTTTTTCTCTAGCAATGGAGCGTTGTGTAAAATGAACGAGTTTTAATTCCTGAGCATTGAAATGCCCCTCGAATCCCAATTCGAGCCTTTGGACATGTGGCGATTTTCCAAGTTCTTCCAAGTCAATAGGAGGAACACTGTGAAGACCATACGGGTAGGCTCTACGATTTGCTAAACGATAAAGGCTATGATTCTTACGGCACCTAAATTTGCTAAAAGGCGCCATCAAAAGGTGAACTTTACAATTTGCGCCTACTTTCTTCTCCTAACTAGCATTTCCGACCTTATCGATCCATAAGTCTGGTCAAATGAAGTCCATACAAATCCCCATTCGAACATGAAACCCGTATCTGGTGATGCAATGTTCATCACCTATGAACTAGCCTCCTAATTTTATCGAACATGTGAGAACCCACTTCTACCCACTGCTCTGATAGTGTTTCAAGTGGTGAATACCTTGGCAGTATGTCTGTTCCTTGTTGCATGAAAGCAGCCAGTGTGAACCAAAGACAATTGTACACTGAAAAGTCGTTGGAAATTGTAAATCCTCCTCGTGCTGTCTCCTCAACCCTCCATTCATACGGTGAAAAACGTGACACCAAGAAGATAACCACGGATACCTGAACGACTATATCAACTGTTCGGTTTATCTATTGGAAGGATGATTCAACTCACGCCAATATATGCGAAAATGATGTACATCCAGATTTCAGTACTGAGCGGTTGCATGAACGAAAAGACCGAAAACTCTTGCTTATCTGGTTTTTTGATCATGATAGAAATACCAGTTGTCATGAACGGTTTCGAAAAATCCACCACTCGCTCGCGTTCCTGAAAAGTTTGCTTCGAAGTCCTCATTCAACTAAATAAAAATGTTCTAAAAAAATTCGATTTTCATACTCCTTTGATATTCTTAGCTTTGCTCTGGTTACAAATTATATCACAGAAACAGAAAGGGCTACCCAATCTATACATCCTACGCTTCGCATACAAATAGAGACGACTCGTGATGGGTGCATCGATATCAGCTGAGGAACGTCCGTTGCGCGCGTCCGTCGAAAGTAGGTCACCCGGGAGGCGGTCGTTTGGCGCTCGCGCCGTTCAACTCTTTCAGATCGCGTAATCTTCCGCTCTCCTCTCCTCTATAGGTGATAGAGGTCCAATCCATCATCTATAGAGGAGAGGAGAGCAGAAGATTACGCGATCTGAACGAGCGGAATCGCCCATCGCGCCAAACGACATACACTCAGGTCACCCCTTTGAGGTCTCGAGATGACATTACAGTACCACTAAGTGTCAGCGTAGCCTCATTGGCAACTGCAACGACCGTCAAGTATCGCGGGCTGACCCGCCGCATGCAACGGATGCGGTACGTAGTTTCGACGGACGCGCGCAATGAAGCGCACCCGGGTGTGTGTCAAGTCGTGCGTCCGAGGGT